CATTCCCCGCACAGGCACAGAAAACATCCCATCGACACGGCCTATACACACACACACAAAAAGTCCCCATGCTCATTGCCCCCAATCGTCCGCCGCCCCCATGCCCGTCAACCCACGCCGCTACCCTACCTTTTCGCCGCTGGGGATGGTGGCCGGGGGCACCCGCCCGTGTGGTTCTCGCCTGTGCAGCAACCTGCACCAGGTCTGGGAGCGCCTCCCTCACCGTCGCCGCCTCGCGTGGCTGAGTCCATCGGACGCCGCAGCCAATGGCGCGCCACCAACCCTAGCCGCCGCGCCCCCTCCCCTTCCCTCCCATCTCCCGCTGCGCCACCGGTGGAGCAGGGCACCCGGGATGGCGGCGGCGGGACCCTCCTCTCGTCTGGTGGAGTGGCGGCATTGGATGACACGGGCCGGCGGGCGTCGCCTCGCCCGAGCCATGTGGGGCTCAACGAGGCTGCCTGGGCATGACTGCGACGACTCCAACCAGAGGCCTGGGCAGGCATAGGGTGGTGGTGACGGCGGCGGGCTTCTCTTCCACTTCTTCCCCTCCATCGTCCCCTTTCCTCCTCGCATGGCGGCGTCGACGGGGCTGGCCTGGGCTGCTCCAGGTCCTGGGTTAGCTAATCCGGTGCTTTGGTGGCGGATCTGTCACCCCCAGGTCAGGGGGCGGCGCCGACGGTGGCAAGGCAGTGGAGTGGAGAGGGCCAGCGGTGGAGTGACTCGTCCACCCATGTCGCACCTTGAGGATGATGCATTGGCTGTGTCAGTCTCACGCAGTAGGCAGCCATAGCGAACACGGGACCAAGAAGAGGGTCTTCCACACCAAGCAACGGTGAGGCTATCCCTGATCTGATTTTCCCCTTCTGTTCTCAGTAAACGTGATTCCAGGGGAGAAATTGTCTGAGGCTTATTTGACACTATGGTAATAAAACGTGCCTTTCTTTTCATAGGTCAATAGGTTCATATATTTTGAGTTGTGATGTTCATGTATCGAGTACACAACCGTGCTAAAACGTTCCAAGATCATTCTAGTTGGTAGGAAACTTAATGGAAATTCATTATATCTGCCCTGCGAGCTGAATTTTTAGGGCTTCCAAACCACCTAGAAATTGGTTACAGATTCTAGATTACTGTTTGGTGATATTGGAACTAGAACTCTAATCTGGCTTGTAGCTCCTCAAGTCATTTGAAGAAACAGTAGTTTAGCAAAGGCTAGATTTTTGTTTGTTGAATCAATTTTGATATCGGAAGATTTGTGCAATTAAAATTTTAAAATGGACAATGTATAGAGTCAGCAGGTTAGTTTAGCTATGCAGGCATGCCATTGCAAACACATAATTGTAGTGAAGCATCAAATTTAACCAAAACATGTACGATAAACTTGCTGTAGCTTACCTATGCTAATAATCATAATATTTCGGTCACTGCAAGCAATATTGAGTTCAAAGAAACTTTCCCAGTTTTCATTTTATAAAATGTCCAGATATCATATCAATTAAATCAAATGGAGTTGCCATTTCATAATCACAACTTCTCCCATGGTAGCACCACTTAGCACTTTTGTAGTACTTTCCATAATGAAACAGAGCATCTGTCTGCATGACTATTGCTACGTTTTGATGGTTCTCGTGAGTTCATTTCATAGCAGCAAAAAATAATGTTTATCCATGTCTATTTATTTATTTTTATAGATGCTGATCTCAAATAATTTCAGCCATATGTGGAGTAGATAAACTTTGTGTAATAACATGTTAAGGCCTTTAAGGCTATTGTTGCTGCTGCACTTTCCTAGTGTGAAGCATATTATGTTTTCTATCAACATGAATTAACCTTGTGTAATCGATTCGGTAAAAGTAGTTTTGCAGTATAAACAAGTCGGTAGAAAATATTTGATGCCATTGCCATTAAATCAAAATGTAATATTTTTAATTTGGCATGTACATTTATTCTAAATTTCCTTCCTTTTCTCTCCATAGTACAGTCAATGGTAACCATGATCTTTTCATTGTCACAGAGAGAAATTTCCAAATAGGTACAGGAAAGTACAAATGCTTGACATGTTATGAACTCCTAGACTTTAGGAAAAATGATAGCAGCTGAACCCTCGGCGAAATTAGTGCAGCAAGAATAAAACCACTGCTACTGCATCACTTTTGTGCTCTGAATGTTCTCTCTATAATTTCTGTCCAGCTGTGTACTTAGATACACTTGAGAGAGAATAGGCTTTTAAAACAATTAAGCATTCTTGGTCAATCAAAGTTTGGATGAGCAGCTCAGCTCATTAGAAAAAATTTCAACATTTTTGTTCCTTCTGATCTACTATATACATTGAGGTGCTGATTCAGTAAGTATAGTAGCCACTCAATCTATAACTACTTAATATAGAGATAGTATCATGTTGTTGCAGCTGCTGTTACTCCATTGAATTCTTATTAATAATGTTGACCTTGTTGAATCCAAGATGAAAATTATATATACCATTATTAAGCTGCTGGTACCTAGCTTTAAATTCAGTCCGCTCTCCTCCAGGAACTGAAAAGAATTCTACATGACTTATTATTGAGCAGGTTGCAGTAAGATTTTGCTAGACTACGATTAGGCTGCTGCAACTTGGCAGTTTCTTTTGTGTGAACTGCAATGTCGCTGAAGATTTGGAGGTATGGGAAGGTAAATTTCTTCTCCCTTCTGTCAATTGCTGCATAGAATTCATCAATACTAGAAAACCATCTGGGCTTTAAAATTTTCAAGTTTGCTGGGTAGGTTTGGTACTTTCTATATATTGGTTCCCAGATCTTGAATTCATGTCAGCTGGTTATTTGTTAACTAAACGGCAAACTCTACATATCCACACCTAATTCCTACCTTTTGCTTGGTAGGGAAAAGGTTCAACCTAGAATCATCTGGGCATGCTCTCCTCAGCTATAGGAAGCCTAAGCTATCTTGAGGATGTGTGAGTATTCTCATGGATATCCTTTGTCAGTGCTAGTGTTTGTATACGTCTAACAATTATGCAAAAAAAAAAAATCTGACGCTCATATCCCTAATTTGTGTGTTGTGCTCTAAGTTACTGTGGATCTATGTTATTTTTAGTGTCCATTTAACTCGGATCTGTAGTGTTTTTAGTATTCACGGTGGTTTGGATTTTTTCGGTATTCCAGTTTCAGTTGTAGTTACTGAATCCATCATGATTCAGTATTTCAGGTTATTGAGTTTTAGTGTTTTATGTTTGGCACTCGTCTGCTGCTTTTCAGTATTCTAGTTTCAGTTGTAGTTACTGAACCCATCATGATTCAGTATTTCAGGTTACTGAACTTCATCTACCTGCAGTTCCGCCATTACAAGCTCCAATTCCAAACCATATCAAAGATGTAAGTTCTGTATAATTAGGCGGGGATCTTTTGTGATATGTTAAATTAAGTTTTTGCTCATGGTTAAAATTATATTTCTTATTTGAGATTTACTGTATGGGTTGTGGGCAGGTGTCACCTGAGGTCTGTTTTCAGTATACTACATTAGAGTTTCAACTGGCTGCAATAGAGTTTGAGTGAAGTTGCAGTGAACTGCATTAGGTTGATTTGTAGAATCTAGGTTTATGATTTTAGGTTCAGTTCAAGTCCATTACATTATATTTTTAGTTTCAGTTCAGGTTCACTTTTTTCAGTCCAGTGAATCTAGGATTCGTTTTCAGTCTAGTAACCTGCATTAGACTTTCATTGAACTGCAGTAGATTTTGAATGTTTAGTATTTCAGTTTCATTGTAATCTGTTGTTTGTTTCAGAGCTGCAGTGGGTGTGTTTTCTCCTGTCTTAGTCCTCTTCAGCATTGCAATCCACACTTTAACTGTCGGCAAAAGGTTAATTGTCGGCAAAGGTTTCAACTGTCGGCATAGGTAGACCGTTTGCCTACACATAAAGTGTCGGAGATTCTGTTAACTGTCGGCAAAAGTTTCGCCGACGGCTTCTAGCGTGACTGTTTCTAAACTGTCGGCAAAACTTTTCGCGGGAGGTTATCTGTCGGCAAAGGTGCCCTTTGCCTACAATAGAAAGTGTCGGCAAAAGTATGTTGTGTTATAGTGAAGGTTTATAGTATTATGACACAATGTGAAGCCTAATTTGATATGCATGCGCACATATGCAATGTTTTTATGCTAGAGACATTTTTCTAGATAGCATATGTTAGAAGGAAGCCAACAAAACTAGTTTTAATTTTTTTCAATGACTAGAGAATTATTTATGAATTTAGCAAGCTAAAATATATTTAAATTTGATTAAAATTATAAACATTTTTATGGTGAAACATATTTTTAAAATGCAGAGGACATTGTAAGAAACCTAACAAAATTTATTTTATAAAGTTTTGAGTTATATTTATTTTTGTATAAACTTTGCAAGAAAGCTAGCATATGAAGTGCCTACCATGTACGGTGGCCCGCCCTGACAACTCAGAAACAGACACTCAGACACTGTTTTCATAGACAGTCTACCTAGGATCGTGGAGAGTTTTATTAGACTGCCCGACACCACTAGTAGAGTCGGTTTTGGCTTAGATTGTTGGGGTGGATTTTTGCGCAAACTTGATTATTTGGGATAAAATAGATATTGCATTCAGGAATCCTGGAAGCAAAGCAATTTTTGGTTTGACCAAAGTTCAACTGAAGGATTTATTTGACTCTGGATTTTTGGTAGTTGTGTATGATTTATCAACACGTTGGGAGTACTTCTATTTTATTTTCTCTAATTCATATGGCAATTTCTACGCCTCGAGAATTGACATGGAGACCTTTTTTTTTGGTGACCGGATCGAGACTTATTTTGTTAGCAAATATTAAAGATAATAGATACAAAACAAATATAGTATTATAAAACTATATGCAACGGCCATGTATGACTGCAGATTTATTATGTATAGGTGGATTTAGGGTGGATATCGGTCGAGCCAGCTCATCTCGTTAAACTAGTAAGCTGAAGACCTAGCTCGGCTTGGCTCATCGGCTAGTTCCTCTAGCTCATGAACTCAAACTAAACAATGATGAGAACTATCAAAACAAACCCAAACCTAAGGTCGCACAATAACAGAACTCCAAAAATGAAATTGAACTATTAATTGAGCACAAATTCAATAGTAACAGGATGAGGAAACAATCAAATCCAACTATTCAAACATACCGTAAAACCAATGGAATCAGTAAAACAATCTACAAATCAATCAAACAAAAGTTCAAATCAAATAGGCTGAAGGATTCAGCCCACATACAGGTTGTTGTCATACTTGCTCTAAGATGCGCCATCGATCAGTGACCCCTGGCTGCAACTGCTCATATCCCGGATCCCTAGCAAACATGCTTACATACCCTCCAACGCAGGCAGGCATCGAATGCGAGCGCTCGCCGTGGCCGTGCTGTGCATCGTCGATTGATCTGGTCCTCTTCACCGCCGAGGCCGATCAGTCTCGACGGCCGGCGGTGACCGGATCAGCTTCAGCCTTCAGGATCTATCGACGGCTCACGTGTGCGTGGGCCGCCATCTTTCTCTGTAGCTGTTGTGCGTGCCTCCTGGCCTCCTCGAAACGAATTCTCTCCCCTTCCGGCCGGCGGCATCACGTGAACGAACGAACGAGCGGACCAGGCCGAGGCGGCGAGGCCGCGACCCACCCCCACCCGGGCTGCCATGCCTGCCGCCAGCGACGCGAGCATGCACAGCTGAGGAGGGCCCCGGGGCGAGCTAGTGCCAGGGCTTCCCCAGGCTGAACGCACACGTACTGCTGGGACGAATTGGGATTTGCTATTGCAGCGTTGGAGCCCAGGCGGTGTCCCGTCCTCCCAGGGATCCGGCGCTAGGCCTATGCTGTGCAAGTGCGTCACAGACTGCTTGCTAGCTGGTGAATGGTGATTGTGCCTTCACGGGTCCTTGTTGATGCATGCGCGTACCAAGACTGCTGCAGCCGGGTAACTGGGGTATCATCCGTCCTCCTCCTCCTGCCCATGAGGCCATCATCCCGTGCCACCACACGTACTCCGCACGGGGCCTGTCTGCGTTGCCAGCGTGCATCAGACCACGTCACTACACTTTTCTTTATATTCTACTCACCCCGTTACAAATTTTTAACTAGTTTTAAGTCAATTCACTTTATCCTAATCACTTCATCCTAATTCAAGTTTATCTGAACCCAAGTCTATACAAGAAAAAATAATTTCTACATGCAAATAAATGTTGTGTATCAGATGAGACGTTTTTGTCTTTCCACTTTGTATTCTTGCATCTTAATTATGAACTCTATATGTAAATGATATGTTAGGATCTAGAATTCCAAACAAATATTATTGCATATATGTATGAGACTGGATGAGAAGACGGAGGTCATTGTTTCCTAAAATGCAACATGCTAGTGAAGAAGCGTTTTGGCCAGCGCTGAGCCTTGAACATGCACGTGCAAAGACAGAATATATACATACTGGTAGATGAAGACACACTTGCTTGTCTCAGATCACTATGGTGACGATCCTAGTATGTAGATGCTACGTGCTTGCACATATCATGCTGAAAAGCGTCTAACCTGCTTGTATCTTATAATTAAGGTCTATAGGTATCGAATTCCAAATTAACAGCAAAGACGAACCTTCTTTTAGCAAGTTAGTAGTAATAGAAAGAAATGTTGCCTTGTTAAATGCACCCAAACATACATACAAAAGTAAAAAGGCCTAGATGAAAGAATAAAGAGGCGATACAAATATTTTTACAAAAATAAAGGAGTCCACTACTAATATTGGTTGTTTATTGACTTGCGAGCATTGCTTTGGCATTATCCGGCACTAAAACTCCTGCCAGATTACCGAAACCAAGATATTAATTCAGTGGCACCTTGTATTACTAAATGCCAGCTTAGGTCCTGTTTAGCATGGCTCCAACTCTAGTGCTTGAAGGAGCCGAAGTTAGAGCTCGTGCATGAAGTAAAAATAATGGTTTTATTGGCTCCTAGTTTATTTTTTAGAAAAAAATAAAAATGACTTCTTACTATAGTACACGTGGAGCTGAAGTACCAAACGAGGAGACAGAGGATAGATATTGATAGATGAGACTGTATCACCAGAAGAATGAATTAATCATAGCATCGTGCCTAAATTATGTAATCATTGTCTAGAGTGCTTGCATGGTGGGCTAATCTGCCTCTTGCATGCAACTACCAGGACTGGCCTGTTTAATCCACCAAGGTAGGGACGTGTGGGTGCATCAATTTTTGGCATTCAGAATCACGGATAATACTCGATGGGCCAAGCCCAATAATTCACTGAGTTGAAGCCCTCGAGCGTTATCCGCGGCGTCATCCAGCCGTCAAAAATCGAGTGCGGAGCTCTCAGCAAAACAAAACAACTTTTGCTCAAAAAAAAGAAGCAAAACAAAACAAGGTTAAGATTTTTTCAGAAGAGGAGGTGCTGTGTCTACCGTCGTACCTTTTATACCAGCACAAGACCCAGCGAGGAAACGCCTGAAATGTGAGCCACGCATATCGTGGGACCCACGTGACGTGGCACACCACGTGGATACCCTGCATCTTCCGTACTTAAAGACACTGATGACTAGGCACAATCGATGTTCCGAATAAAGTGAGCCATCGGTCGATTGATCGATCGATTCCCCAATAATTCGGCACATCGATCTCCCGTCCATGGCGCACTCATGCAGCCGATGGAATGTTTCACAATGGGCTATGTAGCACAGGCTCAACTCGCTACTGAATCCTGATTGCGACATTCTGCCAGAAATAATTGAATTCAGCATTCATATATATATTTCAGACACCAAATAACACGTTCGATTTTTTGAATCCGTTCGCCACCGAGATGACGTTCCACTCATTGTTCTCCTGGACTACATGCACTCTGCAGGATGGAGACAATGGCAGCTCAGCCTAGATAAAGGTGACCAACTTGCCATGCTGTCGTCGTTTCATTTAACACAAACAACTGGAAGAACCAAGCGCGGCTAAAACTAGTTCCTCACTCTATGGCCCTAACTCTAAGCTCTCCCATTCTGTCAGCAGCCCAGCCCGGGATTCACATAGTATGCTAGACGCTTCGATCCTATCTGTGCACCTTGATGCTCATCTGTTGTGTTCCTTGCGTGGTCAGGATACTAACAATCTGCTGAAAGAAGATTAACTTTAGCCACGGAGCAAAAGAGCACAGAAATGGACAAGGCACATGATGGAAACCAATTTTCAGGCTAGAGTGACTACCTACACATGTCTCAGCGAAATTCATCGTGGAAGTAGTCTTCGTCATCGTCGTCGCTAAGGTAAACACTGCCATAAAATGCATAGGGGTTCTCAATCATCTCTTCCAAAGTTAGCTTCCCATCATGATCTTTGTCAACCTGCATTAAGGTTACGGTGAAGCAAATTGTACATGTCATCTCCCAGAAAAACCGTCTATCACATGGATGCTCAAAGAGGAAGTTGGTTGAATTAGACTGTCCTTTTGGTTGACCACATTCAAATTGCCAAAAAGAATATCAAACAGCCATAGAGAATACAAACAGAAGGAAAGATGCAGTTACGGGACCATGCAAGTACAGACTAGCAGATTCTAGCTTACTGCACTCAGTAATAATCTGTTAATTTGGCGTTCTCTATCCATGATTTCTTTAGCATTTAACCCTAAAGCCATAGGCGCCAAACACGAAACCAACAGGACATGACTTACATACATGATATAACTACTATCTGATTCCTAACTAAAGGTCTTCTCTTTAATGTTTTAGGCTTCAAACCTTGTTCTATATGGTTATATCCCACTCAAATTTGACCATGCTGTCCAGATTGTAGTACTTCCACTACACTCCAAAAAAGAATGAACCAAATCTACATCACATCAACAGAAACCACATGATAGACATGATACAATTTCCATACTGCAAATTTTTCTATGCACAATCTATAATTACTGAACACGGGATGGAACCAGACAAATGATTTTGCAACTATTTACGTAATGGATCGTCAATATCTATTCAGTGTCTTCCTTTTTTGCCTATGCAAACCTATCAAACTTTATATCGTTGACATTACTTGCATGCTATATTAGGTTTTTGGTGATAATAGCTGATGATAAATAGTTAAACTGGTAAGTAATTATAAGCCCACACACACACTGTTTGCTGGAAGGCAAAATTGATTAGGAGCAAACCAACATGAAAACTTCTGTTGTGCCTGCAGACAAGTTTGAAATAATCTCTGAACTATATGAGCAGGCAACTCATGTACATTCGTGATGGTACATAAGTATTAGCGACTCCTTGAAAATGCATGTTTAGCTTCAGTGGTTCATAGAAGAAACTTATAAAGTAAAAACTAAACAAACTGCGCCATCTGATTATGCACATAAGCATGGCCATAGAATCTAAGTACACCTTGAACTAGTATAACAGATCAAAAGGTAACTTGTGTATATTAAGTAGAGAGTAAAGTTCATGGCTGGTCCTCGAACTTGTGGGGTGTGTCATCCCGGTCGTCCAACTCAGAAAGTGTGTCATATTCATCCAAACGGGTATGGTCCATACCCGCATACCGAGTTAGTACTTGATTGCATGAAATAGAAAATTAGCGTTGGTTATATATAAAATTGCGCAGACACAAATATTTATAAAGAATAAAGTGCATGGCCGGTCCTTAAACTTGTGAACCTGTGCGTCCCTATACTCAGAAACTGTATCATTTTGATCCTTAAACTCAGTTCGGGTCTTATAGCTAATCCAAATGGATCTAAACCCGTAACCCATATAGCACGCTGACACATGAGGCCCACATGTCATCTGCCTGTCCTCTCTCTTCTCTTCCGGACTCGGGCCCTGTTCGCTGGGAGGAATTTGGAGGAATCCGGAGGAATTTGTGAGAGAATGAACAGTGTTTTTCATCCGCGCACAGTGAAATCCGGCTGGTTTTTCAACCAGCCGAACGAGCCCTCGACCGGGGAAGGGGCCGCGTGCGACACGGTCAGGGGCTGCTCGCATCGCCGGTGAGCTGCCGCGCCCTCTAGCTCATGTTCGCCATGCTCCTCCGCCGCGACCTCCTCACGGACGTCGCCCCCGTGTCAACAAGTTCCTCGCGCAGGTAGGCAGGCCTTCTCGCTTAGCCTGCGCACAGCTGCAGCGGCGACCAACGCAGCAGCGAGGAGGCCGGCGCACGACTGCTCGTCATGCGATGCTGTGTTCGCGTGCGGGCAGGCGCTCAGTGGGCACATGAACTGCCACCGGCTGCTCCCAACCTTCCTTCCTTCTTTCTTTCCCTTTCCCTTTCCTCCTCTTCTTCAACCTTCAGACAAACGAGAACACGAACCAAATCAAGCACCAAGTCACCAATACGATACGAGTATAGGATGATGGCTAACCGCATCCACCAAGAAGCTCACGCCTCCTACACTGGCAACTGCAGTTCTGCAATTCCTGTGCTATTCTGTATTGAGGTTCAGTTCCATGTTTGAATCGCATGGAAGAACACTGTTCAGGCTAGTAGGGATTCAAATCGAGGAGCACAAGGGCAATTTCGTATGGTAGAAACCGATTTGGCACTGGATTGAGAGGTTCTTGCTTTTGCGGCAGTCCGTGAAGGATAAGTCACGGCGGCAGAGTGTGGTGGAAGGCCGAGCTCGTGGCGCTCTCGCCGGTGTCGTCCAGGAGGGTCGTCACGGCGCTGCGCTCAATAATGCCATCGCTCCATCAACTGGTGCATGTTGTAGTACGCGCTCTGCTTCGTCGCCATCGTCGTGGCTCCGTGGCTGCGCCCATCACCGCCATGGACTCCTCGCCTCAGAGAGCCTGGGCACCATCAGCAGTACAGGTGGTGGCCAGAACCCGTGGCAGAGAGCGGGTCAGATGGCGGCACCGCGCGGTGTGCGGACGGCAGCCTGAAGGGGCGCACAAACAGCGGGCGCAGTGCATGGGGCTCGCGAGCGGTGAGCGTAGCCAGGTGATGGCGGCGGACCTGCGATAGAGATGGCGTGCGCGCGTAGGCACAGCAGCAGGGTCGGTCGTCGTCGTAGAGAGGAGTGATGGAGCTGATATGTGGGACCAGACCCGTTTGGACGTACAGGAAACCCAAACTGAGTTTAAGGATCAAAATGACACAGTTTCTAAGTACAAGGACCGGGATGACACACCCTCGCAAATTCGAGGACCGGCCACGCACTTTACTCATTTATAAACTTTATGAAGGGTTGTTTTGAAAAAAAAAAGTGGTCTTCTTCCTCTCATCCCGCTCTCTCCTGTGGTCAGCGGCGGCGTGGGCGGCGGTGCCGGCGCTGGTGAGCGCCATATCCAGCCGCGCGGCGGAGCACGAGGCGGGCACGCTGGTGGCCATGGTGGGCGGCTCAGAGGCGCTGCAGCTGGAGGCAGTCCGGGCCGGCGCCATGAGCCAGCTGCTGATGATGGTGCAGGGCGGCCACTCGGAGCGTGCCAAGCTCGATGGTGGGCACGGCCGGGCCCACGCTGGTGCTCCCCACTTTGCTCCTGTCGTAGCACAGCTTGAACGGTGCCACGGGCAGCGCCCACGGGATCATGGCCGTCTCGGCCGCGAACGCGTTGGTGACGGCCGTGTAGATCGAGGACTGCAGCACAGTGTAGGGCGCCACCGTGCTGAGTTTGGTCCCGCCCACGCCCTTCCTATTGATGGCCAGCAGCGTGGCGTTCAGCGGCACGGCGCGGCCGTTCACCTTGACGCCCGTGACGCCGACGAAGTACTCGTCCGACTTGTCGCCCTTGGTGGACACAGGCCGTGCTCACTGGGTTGACGAGGAGCGGGGTGTAGATGAGCGACGTGTCGGACAACACCACCCCCAGCTGGAACGCGTAGAGCAGCGCCAGCACGTCAGTGATGAATTTGCTGCCCGTGCTGACCCGTGTGACCGTGTTCTCGAGGAACCCACCGCCGCATGGCTCCCGCCAGGTCCAGCACGGCCTTCACTGGCACCAGCGGCGTGCGCCGCCGGAACCCCGTCGCCTACTGCTGCATGGCGTCGTCCTTGCTCACTGGCAGCAGCACAGCGCTCGGTTTGCTGCCAGAGACGGCTGCGCGGCAGGCCGACAGCAGGCAGAGGAAGAGGACAGCATCCACGAGAGGGCTAGCACTTGCTGGGTGGCGTGCCATGCTGTGAGTGTGAGCGTGTGGGACGTGATGCGTGATGGCGATGTGAAGTGCTATCAGCGGCACGCAAGGATCGATCTTTATAGCGAGGTAAGGAACGCGGCGGCGCAGGCGAGCAGCCACTGCCACCGGTGAGCTGACAGGTGGGGCCAAACCCATTTGGATGAATACGAGACCTAAACAGAGTTGAAGGACCGAAATGACACATTTTCTAAGTTTAGGGACCGGGATGACACACCCACGCAAGTTCGAGGACCGGCCATGTACTTTACTCTTAAGTAGACCATGGAGCTATATTCTGATAATCTGATATCTCAAAGAAAAACAAAAAGAAGCAATGGGGGAGAATATGAACCAAACCTCTGAAATAGCATGGATAGCTTGCTGTCTAGAATAATAGCGTTCAGAAAGATAGAGCTTATCAAGAACAGGCTCTAGTTCATGCTCCGAAATAAACCTGCAGAAAAGGTCTTTCTCAAATGAATAAAGATTCAAGGTTATACGAAGTTCTGTTAGAAATTGCAAATATGTCCAATAGCATACCCATCATTATCTTTGTCAAGTTTGGAAAACCGGTCCTTCGCAACTGTTACGTTCCCAATATGGGAAATATCTGCATTCTCGTCATCATAACCATGTATATGGTCATGTAGCCCATTAAAGTATTCTTCAAAGTTTAATTTTCCATCACCATCTTTATCCCTCTGCCTGGATATGGCATAGTGAGTAAGGAATTTCAAACATAACCTCAAGGAAACTGAAGTGTGCTCTAATAGTGCACATAAATAGTTAATGATGGAAGAATATCCACCTTTAAAAACTCATTAGAGGGACACACAATCAACAACTTCCAAGTTTCCAGACATGATGGATCATTCAAAAGGTTCTTTGGTGTTCTAATCAAAGCAACATGCTTTACTCAGGTGTGTTAGTTTCTTTTGCGTCAAGTGATTTATTTATGCCTCAAAACGTGTGCCTCATACTTAGTGTTAAGTAGAGCCTAGTTTGTTCATTGCCATGGGTTCAATATAGAGATGTCGGGTTTGTAATTTATAAAACGTTTAGTATTATTTGTATTTCCAACTTATGGGACATAGAAGGAGGAGATGGATATAAAACCTATAGTTGTTAAGACAAGCGGAAAGAAACTGTTGCCAAAACTACTGTTAGTCGCTGAATTCTCACTCTTGGTAGTAGGAGAATTCTTACTCTCATCGAGAGAGGATGACACTAGGAGTTGGGGCAATTTTCTTGTCTATTTCTTACTCAAATGCCATGCCAACCTGAGGGGTTGGGGTTACATATTTATAGGCTGCTAGCCAGCCAAGCATATGCCAAGATGCTAGTCTAAGATGCTAGTCTAAGATGCTAATATGCTGTCCTAGCTAAGATGCTGTCCTCTAGTCTAAGATGCTGTCCTCTAAGATGCTGTCCTCTAGTCTAAGATGCTGTCCTAAAAGCAGAAAAACAGCCACAAGGACCATGTGAGCAGTACAGCCCCACAAAGACCACACATGAGACTTATCCATCATTCTCCCCCTAAGTCTTGTGCGTCGTCTTGTGGGAGAGTTGAACCATCCCGGTCCTGGAGCAGAGCTCAAGGAACTTGATCCTCCCAAGGGGCTTGGTGAGCAGGTCCATGGTGGTGGTCCTTGGTGTTGATGTAGCTCACCTTGATGCTCCCTTCCTCCAAACACCCTCGGATGAAGTGGTACCTCACCCGGATGTGCTTGCTGCGTTAAGGAACACGGGGTTCTTTGCCAGGGGCAGCGGACTTGTTGTCCACCCCAGAGCTCCACCGCTCTAGTGTCTCTGCCGAGGAGATCACCAAGCGATCGAGCGAGCAGGCGCTGAGTCGAAGCGGTGGAGGCCGCTATGTACTCGGCCTCGCGGTTGGGCAGAGCCACCACTGCCGCTTGACCGATCGCCACCCATTAACGAGGCACTTGCCGAGGAAGAAGAGGATCCCGCTTCGTGCTCTTCTTTGGTGTCGATGTCGCCGGGCGTGGTCATTGTCATTGCCGCCCGACGAAGTGTGCCGCCTGGGGGCACCTCGGGTAGTAGAGGCCGTGGTCGAGAGTCCCCGCAACATAGCGGATGATCCTCTTCACAACTTCTTTGGTGCTCCGTCGTCGGTCATTGCATGAACCGACTAACGTGGCCGACGGAGAATGCCAAGTCCGGCCGTGTGTGTGGGCGAGGTAGCGAAGGCTCCCACAAGACGCCGCAGATGCGTGGCGTCCACCTCCTCCGTCGTCTTTGTCACACGGCTCGACTTCACCTCTCCTCCATCGGAGTGAGAGTCGGGTTGCGATCGGTGAGCCCAGCTAGCTCAACGACGCCGCTTAGCGTGGCGGTCCGTCAAGTGTGATCCGGAGTCATTACGGTGCACCTCGATGCCCGATAGAAGGAGAGAGGCCCCTGTCACACTCATCCGGAAGGTGGCCTTCATCTCTTCCTTGAATGCCGCCACCTCGCATCCTTGGTGCCGGTGATCACCAAGTCGTCGGCGTGAACACCCACCAAAGCAGAGCGGTTCCTCCACCGCCCGTCGGGTAGATGGCCGCCTCGTCGCGGGCTTTGCTCAAGCCCATCCCTTTAGCGTGGAATCCAACTTGGCATTCCACGCCCTCGGATCGCCGCAAGCCATAGAGGTCTCTTGCGCGGTGAGCACCTGCCCTCCTCCTTGGGGATCGCAAATCTGGCGGTGGTGCACGAGACCTCCTCCTTCAAGTCGCGCCAAGGAACGCCGACTTGACGTCCATGTGATGAACACGCCACCCCTCCCGGCGGCTAAGCGCAGGAGGAGTCGCGACGGACTCCATCCGTGCCACAGAGCAAAGGCGTCGTCGAAGTCGACCCCTCCTGCTTTGCCGACGAAACCTCGTGCCACCAAGCGAGCCTTGTGCTTGACGATGGCACCGGCTTCATCCCTCTTGACTTGAACACCCACTTAAGGGTGATCGCGCGGTGACCACGAGGAAGGTCGACAAGCTCCCAGTGCGGTTCTTCTCGACCGCATCCATCTCCAATCGCATCGCGGCGCGCCATGCAGCGTGTCTCTCGGCCTCTGCATACGATCGAGGGCTCATTGTCGTCGCCGCGCAAGGTGCAAGCTAAGCGCCTCCAGTCGTGAGGCACCGGTCCCGACACCGGTCAGTCGCAGAAGGTTCTCCATCGTCTGGGTATCACGCAATGGCTCGCCGTCGTGATGCAGCGTCGATCGCGCTCCTCGTCGTGAGAGAGCGAGTGGCGAGCTCAACCGGCCGCGTGCTCGACACGAGCCGGAGTAGACGTGCCGAGAGAGGCCTGCCGATCTTTGAGTCGCGTGGCGTTGCCGGTACCGTGGTGGAGCCGGCGAAGAACTCATCGCGGTAGGTCTGGCCGACGCGTGATAGTCTTTGTCCGCGAATGCAGCGCCGGGGTCGGTGGAGGCTCGGGGGCCCGGGTAGACGCGCTTCGCCGAAGAAGAGCCGCCTACTCCCCAGCCTCCCTCGAAGTGGGCGTGCTTTCGGCAAAGTGAAGTCGTCGACGTCGGAGCCGAGCCATCGCCCACCGCTTTGTGTCCCACGCCCATCCTCGCCCTTTCGTCGAACACAACGTCGCGCGCCATGCGCGCTGCACGCGTGTCTTCGGTCGAGGATGCGGTAGGCCTTCGAGCCCTCGCGTGGCCGATGAACACTCTGGAGTGCTCCTCGCCGTCGAGCTTCTTGATGTGGCCAAGCTCCTTGGCGAACGCGAGGCGCGACCAAGACCCGCAGTGGGGAGACCGCCGGCTTGCGCCCATGCCAAGCCTCGTCTGACGGCCCCGCCGTCGAGCGCCTTGGTAAGGCGGCGGTTGAGGATGTAGACGGCCGTCACCACCGCCTCTCCCCGAGAGGCGGCCGGCATCCCCTGCTGCTTGAGGAGGGCCCGAGCCATCCCCACAACCGTTTGGTTGCGCTGCTCGACGACGCCGTTCTGCTGCGGCAAGGTGTCATGCGGGCGCGAGTAGTGGCGCCAATGCCCTCGTCGTTGATCTGATGACGCGAACGACGCGCCAGTGAATTCGCCGCCGTTGTCGGTCTTGCAAAGACGCAGCGTAGCCTCGGCCGCGATCTGCCTCCCGCAGCACTGCTGCACTGCCGCGATGGCGTCATGACCTCTCCCTTTGTCAGCCGAGGACCATCACCCACATGTAGCGGGAGAGGTCGCCGACGAGCGGGCGGGAAAGTAGCGTCGTCCTCCGGTGTGGCGGTGTCACCGAACCACACAAGTCCCCGTGCACAAGCTCGAGACTCTCCTTGGCTCGAAGCTAGCCCATTGTGGAAAGGGGAGTCGCCTGCTGCCGTCAACACGCAGACGTCGCAGAGCGCTCCACATGGTCGAGGCACGGCGGGCCTCGCACCATCTCCGTGGCACCGAGCCGCCTTGGCCCTCGAAGTGAAAGTGCCCGGCGCTCGTGCCGCCGCGCCTCGTCATCCCGACGAGCGGCGAGACAGAGGGGTTGTGCCACCGCACGTTAAGGATGTAGAGTCGATTTACGCTTACGGATACCTTGGCAAGAAGGCGGCGACGGCGATCCCAAATCCTCATGACTCCATCCTCAACCACCACGCGAACCATTCTCATCCAAATTGTCCCAAGTCGATGATGGAGTTCCTCAACGCGGGGATGTAGTAGACTCCGGTGAGCGACTGTGCTCACACCGACACCAGCGGTGAAGATGACGGAGCCGACGCCTTGATCTCCACGCCGAGGCATCCCCAAACTTGACGGAGCCTCGGACGCTAGAGTCAAGCTCGGTGAAGAACTCCCGTCGACCGGTCATGTGATGGGTGGCGCCGGGTGTCGAGGCACCACCCGTCGATCTTGTCGTTGCCGGGCCCGCCGAGGAGGGCATGTGCTTTTGGCTCGTCAAGGTGGAGGAGAACCGCTGCGCGGCGGTGCGGCTGGAGGTAGCTTCGATCGGGCATGTGCCATGAACAGAGCCGGTTCCTCCTCCTCCGCTTTGTCTGACGTGGGCTGGCCGCGTCGTGGTTGTCGGACGATCCTTGGCCCAATGGCCAAAATTTGGCGAAAGTGCGGCGGTGTGTCGTCTCGCGTCTTGGCTTGCCCGCCGGCGCGCCGCCTGGCGCCTCATGCGGCATCACCCTCAGCACGTCCTCGCGCCCGGCTGGCGTCTCTGCGCGCTTTGCGCGGCTTGCCACGCTGCGGCCGCTTTGTCGTCGGAAGAAGGCTCCCCTTCCTCCGGTCACCACAGGCCGGCAAGCCACCGCTTCCCGAGTGAGAAGGAGCTTCCGCCAGGGTGATGGGCCCCGAGGGGATCAGGGGCTCATCGCCGCCGGCGACCTTGAGGCGACCTATCGCCTCCTCGATCGACATCGTGGAGAGATCCAGCGAGAGACTTCGATCGAGCGAGCCATCTGCTGTACTTTCTCGGGGACGCAGCGGAAGAGCTTTTCGGCGCCTCTCTCCTCGCCGTAAGTGTCGCCGCCCGATCGCACCATCTTCTCAGCAATGCAGTGTTGAGACGGAGAGCAAAGTCATCAACGTCCTCACCGGCTTGAAGGCGAGTTCTCCCACTCCTTGCGAAGTGCTGCGGTGCAGGGACTTGCGCGCTGTCGCGCCGCTGCGCGTGCCGCGATGATGGCGTCCCAAGCCTCCTTGGCGATCCGCTTCTTTGGTAAGCGAAGCGCATCTCGGCGGGATCTGCGGCGATGAGCGCATCCAAATACCCGTCGATCTAGGTCGTGTCGACGTCGCCGTCCGGACCGCCTCCCACATGTGCCGCACACTGAGCTTTACCCTCATCACCGCAGCCCACTCGGCGAAGTTGGTCTTGGTGAGGGTAGGCCACCCACCACCGCCGGACCGGCGTCCCGACAACGACCGGGCCCGTGGTAACCACGGTCTTGATCGATCCGGAGAGAGCCACGCTGCCTGTGAAGGCCACGCTCTCCATCGACCCGTCGGTACCGATCCGGGGAGAGAGAGCCACGCTGCCTGTGAAGGCCGCGCTCTCCATCGACCCGTCCGCCACCATTGCCGTGCGCGCCTCCTCCAGGAGCGCCGCCGCCGCGCGCCTTCTCCAGGAGCGCCACCGGCGCGTCCGCGCTGTGTCTGGTGCCGCCGCGCGCGCTCGTGTCGCGTCTTGCGCTGCCCAGAGCGCCACCGCCGTCGCGCGCCTCCTCCAGAGCGCCGCCAGGTAACGTCCGCCGCGCTGTCACGGGTTGCCGCCACGCTTTCGTGCGCGTGCGCGGCGCCTCATCATGCCGCCGCCCGCGCTCGCGCTGCCTCCCTCTCTAGCAGCTCGAGGTCCGCGTCGGCGGTGTCGTCAGCGGAAATTGGAGCTGCCGATCTTGCCGCCAGAGCCTCGACCTCACCGCCGCCAGCCGCTGCAGCATTCGCCGCCGCCGCCGCTTCGCTCTGCCTGCTTGCCGCCTCCGCCATTGCCGACCTCGGCACGCTTTGTTGCCGCCAAGAATGCTCTCTGCCGCCGCTGCCATCGCGTTCTCTGCTGCAGCAAGTTCGGCCTCTCGCCGACGCCACAGCGTGCTCGAGGCGACCGAAGGCCGAGATCGCCTCACACATGACGCGCTCTGGGGATGCTGCGTGGGGAGAGGGCTGCCAGACACGAGCCGCCTGTCTGCTGCTGGAGAGAGAGAGCGAGGGCCGCCGGGCTGGGCTCTTTGCTTTCATGCAAATGGGGCAAGTGTGGTGGGAGAGAGATGAGCGAGAGATGCTCAAAGCTCTGGTGGTATCTGACTCGATATCACTTGTTAGTCGCTGAATTCTCACTCTTAGTAGTAGGAGAATTCTTACTCTCATCGAGAGAGGATGACACTAGGAGTTGGGGCAATTTTCTTGTCTATTTCTTACTCAAATGCCATGCCAACCTGAGGGGTTAGGGTTACATATTTATAGGCTGCTAGCCAGCCAAGCATATGCCAAGATGCTAGTCTAAGATGCTAGTCTAAGATGCTAATATGCTGTCCTAGCTAAGATGCTGTCCTCTAGTCTAAGATGTTGTCCTCTAAGATGCTGTCCTGCTGTCCTCTAGTCTAAGATGCTGTCCTAAAAGCAGAAAAACAGCCACAAGGACCATGTGAGCAGTATAGCCCCACAAAGACCACACATGAGACTTATCCATCAACTACAAGAAACATATCAACAAGTAATGTGTAGCTAATATCATTTACTTCAAGAAAACACCAAAACTTTTATCAATTGCCTATCAAAACTTTTAAAAACTCATTAGAGGGACACACATTGAACCCTGTCCAGATCCAATTATTTAAATGGTATGAATAGGTTTAGTGTCTACTCACTACTGTAATATGATGATGTGGCACAAGAACTTAGCTTCTTTTGCATTTTTAACTTTAACAAAAAAGGCAAGATCTTTTCAACGTCAACAGAGGCAGGGAGGGTTATTTAGTTTAAAGGGTGAAAAATCACTTCTTTCAGTGTGCCGTATGCAGAAAAACTGTTGTCCACGCAGTTCACACATGTGAACAACAATTTTAAACATAAGACACTCATCCGAAGCTAACAAACTTGCCTCATAGGATACTAATTAGACTGCATGTGACACAGTCAAAGCGAAAGGATAAGAAAGATCGCAAGGGTAAGAACAAATGCTACCAAGATTTCATAAAACATAGCCAAAGATAGGACAGTTTCATTAATGTCTCTATGGGCTCATGGCTCACCCATATCAGTGAACCAACACCCTCTTAGTTTTGAAGGGTTATACCTTCTTTAGTATATGTAAGTCATCTAAGTGCATCATCATGATTTTTGGACCTTGATTTGTGCTAATGTAGGTGAGGATGTATATTACTGCTTGTCACTTGTCAGCAATGGAATTGTTAAGTATCGCCCAAGAAAATGCTTGAGCCTATTGGGCCTGGGCTGGCGGTATAGCCCGCTAGTGTTAGGGTTAATTAGAGATAAGGGTCGCTTGCTTAAGGGTCAAGTAAGCCTTGCTTGGGAGTCAAGTAAACCTCTCTATATAAGGAGAGGAAATGTATTAATCTAATTAAGCAAGAATTAAGAAGGAAATCCCTTCCCTCTTGCTCGGCCGTCGGCAAGGCCCCCGGCCTCCCTCGCAGCCCCAGCCGCCACAATTATGGTCGTGAACAGTACCCTCTTTACTGTAGCACCGCGGGTACTGTGTCCCGCCCGCTGCCGCCTCCCCCTCAGCTCTCTCCCTCTCAATCCTAGCAGCCACATAACAATGCTAAAGCTGTTGCCTGCTATCACTATCACTATGGCCACTCTGGCATCTAACTAAAACTTCGTTTCACTATCACTAGTGGCTAAAGCCTGTTGGCTGCTACAGCATGAAAATGCTAAGTCTGAACAAATTTCACAAACATATATTTTGATGGCTCGAGGATTCAGGACTCTGAAGCCAATAATTGATTTGAATTAAGTTTATGTACCCTTTCAAGATTAAACCACTCCAAGTCCTTTACAGCTATGCTGCTAAAATTGATGTAAACTAGGATAGAAAATAGTCGTAAGGATGAGAAAGCATGCACCTTATTTCTTGTCTGCAGAGCAAATTGATGATTTTGGGATTATCCGAATCACTTGGATTAAGGAAACTGAAGCAGCAACAGGAAATTCAAAAGGCAGATGTCAGGAAATAATGAAGAACCATATTATTAACAAATTTGATTTTTGGTACAACTGAAACGAATGCTTACTCATTGAACTCAGCTTTATCAAGGAAACCATCAGTGTTTGCATCTGAGGCATTGAAATGCTCCTCCTTCCACCACTGGAACCCCAGCATATTGCCCTCTCCTGCAGAACAAGAACCAAGCAATCAGCAAACCAACGTATGAAAATACAATGATAGCAGGAATTATTTCCTTGCATTGCTACACTCATTGCTTCACGCAGAAACAAAAGCAGAGTATTTTGGCAATGTTACCATGGGATTCTTGGCGCAGCTTATTGAAGGCCTCGAATGAGACTATCCCATCGCCGTCCTTGTTGTAGAGCTCCATCTCCCTGGCGGAGCGGTGGTGCTGGTCGGCCCTGGCTTGCTGGAGGTTCCAGGCGGTGAGCTCGTCGAGGGAGACGAATCCGTCCTGCGGGGCGACGTCAATCTTGGGGAAGAGCTCGCGGATGCGGTCGGCGACGTTGAATCGCTCGTCGTCGTTGATGAAGTCCTCCTCATCCTTGAGGAACTCCTCCCACTCCTTCATGTGGTCATCCGGCTCGCCGCCGTGGAGGAGGCTGTAGTGCTCGCGCTCCCAATCCTTGTCGTCCAGCCGGCGCTCCAGCTCGGCGATGGTCGGGTCGAAGGAGGCCGCATGGTGGTTTTGGTGCTGCGTCTGCTGTTGCCCCACATTCCCACCGGAGGCAGCGCCGGATGATGGGGCGCTCTTTGGGTGGAGCTTGAGGCGGCGGTGGAGGCTGCGGCCGTGGGCGTGGGGCTGGAGGCGGGGCGAGTAGGAGGCGAGGAGCAGCAGCAGGATGAAGGCGCACGCTACGTAGAGGAGGAGAACGGTGGCCGGAGACTTCCGCCCCGCCGAGGCCGCGGCCGACGCCGGCGCCATCGCCGGCGAGAAGGGGAGATCGAGCGACGGGTGGGTGAGGTACGTCTGCTGCGGGTCCGAGATTTGGACCCGTTTAACTCGTACTCCCCCCAACGGGTGCGGTTTAGCAAGCAGTCAAGCACGCAATGACGCAACTGCTCGTCGCAACGAAACCCGCTAAGGCGGTGACATGGCAAGGTCCCGTTGCGCCAATCAGTGTCCGAGACGTGGCCCGAAGAATTGACACGCATTGTTGCCATGGCGACGCGTGAACAAGTCCGGCTCGTCTTGTGGGCAAGACACGGTCGTCCTCTACTCGAACACGGAAGGCCCTGCCGCGTATACATATACAAGCCGCTGCCGTCTAGCTGTGGGATAACATCGTGTCATTGTGTGTTGGCTCGTGCTGATCAATCTTGGCTACCATCCATATCCATGGACGCCGTATGCGACACCCTGCTGCTGGAGGAGATCCTCCCGCGCCTGGCTCCCAAGAACCTCCTCCGCCTCGTGCCGCTACAACGGCCTCGTCCGCAACCCCGACTTCCGCGTCCGGTGCTGGTGGCGCGCTGGCGTCTTCTTGGACCTTGTCCGAGACACAAACGACAACGGGTTTCTTCCGCGCTTCCTCACCGGCCCCTCTTCAAGCCATGCGTCGGAGCTCAAGCTCGGCGACATGAACCTCGCCTTGTTTCCCAGTTCCAACGCGCGTACTACCGAGGAGGCCTCCCTCTCCTCATGGCGCACTCGACGCGCGTACTACCGAGGAGGCCCACCTCGCAAAGCGCGCATTACTACGTGTGCAACCCGGTGACGTGGCAGCGCGCGGTTCTCCCGGAGCTGCGGTCCCTCTGCTTCGACCCGCAGTGCGTGCTCCTAACGGTGGCTGGCACGCGATCCCAGTTCCAGGTGGTGGTCATCGAGCAATGGCAGATGGAAGACATGGACCTTCGCCTGAAAGTCTTCTCTTCAGGCACCAGCCAGTGGGAGAGCAGAAGGATCTCGCTGTTCGAGTCTTCCCTTCCCTTCGAGCACGACTTCCGGCCGCGGCCGGTGCTGGGCCAGAGCGGCGCCGCCTACTGCCTGCAGCCGCGGGACGACATGGCCATAGCGTACCACAGCGATGGCGACTCCTTCCAAGTCATCGCGCTGCCTCGCCATCTCGCCAGCCGCAAACGGGACCGGGTGATAGGGGAGCGCCATGGCGGAGGCGGCCTCCGGTTCACGGAGGCGCACGCGTCGGTGCTGGAGGTGTGGGAGTGGGTGTGTGATTCACAGTCATCGTAGACGACGACGAGAATAGCACGGGTCGCGTGGACGCTGCTGCACCGGGTTGGCATCACGGAGTTGCTGGCACGAAACCCAGAAGCCGCAGCACACGGTTCTCACGTCACGCCAGTGCCAATCGGCTTCCACCCAACCGATGTTGATGTCGTCTTCCTCGAGTTACCTTGGGCTGTGGTGGTCGCCTACTCCATGGAGCATGGCATCATGAATCTGCAGTGCACACACAATGTGGTATGAACCCGCTAGGGTTAAATTCTGAATTTTCGATAAGAGGGCGTGGGATAACTCGATTGGTGGATGGAGACGACGTTCACGACCCAATTACAGCCTTCCAAGTTGTGCCTTAGCAACCGATAAACCACCTCCAATGGCTACCGCGATCCTGTGGAGTGCGTCACCCGGCCACTAGGGCACTCGTCCTGCAAGCAATCGAAGAACTAGCAAGCAATCGAAAAACTAGTAAGAACAAGTATAACAAGTACTAAATTTACTAGATGAAGATGAAGGTTTTCAAACTCAATCTCAAATAAGATGGGGTTCTAGAGACAAGAAGATGGACGGCTGATCTAGCACGCGTGCTTACAAGCAAGCAACAAGAGCTAAACTTGATCTAAACAAAACACAACAGTTCTTGGTGACCCCTAAGGAGTATATGAATGTGGAGGGACGACCACCAGGGTGTTGGGGTCGTGCTCCAACCCTAGGACGCGTCCCTAATAGACCCGACTTGATACACGGCCCATTGGGCCAAACTAAGGCGACGCAACACCTTTGGACAGAAAATCTCTCGGTAGTAACTCGGCCATTGTGGCCGCCTCAGAACAGATATGGACTTGATTCCAGATCCATATGAAAATAGACTTCATAAGGATTTCATGAAGTACTTGAACGTCTCAATCCGAGTCCGTATGCGACCGTGGTGATCATCACAAGTTGGAGCTGTCCTAGAGTCTGAATCCAGCCTGCGCGAATCCTTTTCCCTTTTGGTCCTCTCCCTGTTTTCTAACCAAAACAAGAGTGCACGCGTCTCTATGGTCTAAATATGATGGATAGGAATTCAAGAGTAAACTTACTTGATGATTAAGTTGACGAGCACGGGCGCGCGTAATAGGACCAGAAACTGATACTTGTGTCAGCGTGGATGTTTCGTTGGTGTTGATGTCCTCATCATCCTCCCCTTCTTACATTTGAGTCATCCTCGACTCAAACTCTTCTTCTCCCAAATATGGCTTCGAATCTACAATGTTAAATGTGGGACTAACCCTAAAATCTACAGGCAGATCGAGCTTATATGCATTATTATTAATTTTCTCTAACACTTTAAATAGTCCAGCAGCCCTAGGCATCAATTTAGACTTTCTCAATTCAGGAAACCTATCATTTCTCAAGTGCAACCAAACTAAATCTTCAGGTTCAAATATTAGTTCCTTTCTACCTTTATCACCAGCAAACTTATATTTAGCATTCATATGCTCTATATTTTTTTAGTTGTTTTATGCAGTTTTAACATCAATTCAGCACGCTTAATAGCATCAAATTTTAGTTTTTCAAAAGATGGCAAAGGCATCAAATCAATAGGAGCACGAGGCAAGAAACCATATATAATCTGAAATGGACACATCTTTGTAGTAGAATGCAGCGAACGATTATAAGCAAATTCAATATGAGATAAATAATCTTTTCACATCTTAATGTTCTTCTTTAAAACATCCCTTAACATAGTAGATAAAGTTCTATTGATAACTTCAGTTTAATCATCGGTTTGGGAATGACATATAGTAGAAAACAAAAGCTTAGTCCTCAGTTTTCTCCATAAAACCTTTCAAAAATGACTAAGAAATTTAACATCACGATCAGAAACAATTATGTTGGGCACACCATGCAAACGAATAATTTCTTTAAAGAATAAATCAGCAATATAAGTAGCATCATCCGTTTTATGACAGGGTTTGAAATGTACCATCTTAGAAAATCTATCAACAACCACAAACACACTATCACGTTCCTTCTTAGTCCTTGGCAAACCCAACACAAAATTCATAGAATATATCTTCCTAGAGAGCACTAGGAACAGGTAGAGGTAAATATAAACCGTGTGGATTTAACCGTGATTTAGCCTTTTGACATGTCGTGCAACGAGCAACAAACCTCTCCATATCTCTTCTCATCTTTGACCAAAAGAAATGACCAGCATTTTCTTAGCTCCAAAATGCCCCATCAATCCACCTCCATGCGCTTCCTGCAGCAACAACAAACGAACGGAGCTAGCTGGAATGCATAGCTTGTTAGCTCTAAACACAAACACACCACTAAAGATGAATTTGTTCCAACATTTTCCATCTTTACAATGCAGCAACACATCTTTAAAATCAACATCATTAACATATTGGTCTTTAATTGTTTCTAATCCAAACATTTTGTAATCAAGTTGATTCAGCAAGGTATATCTCCTAGACAAAGCATCAGCAATAATATTTTCTTTCCCTTTCTTGTGCTTAATAACATAAGGAAAAGATTTAATAAATTCAACCCACTTAGCATATCTATGGTTCAATTTCCCTTGACTACGAATATGCTTCAAAGATTCATGATCAGAATGAATAATAAACTCTTTGGGCCACAAGTAATGCTGTCATGTTTCTAATGTGCGAACAAGAGCATACAATTCCTTATCATAAGTAGAATAATTCAGAACAGGCCCGCTCAATTTTTGACTAAAATACGCAACAGGTTTGTCTTCTTGTAATAAAACACCACCTAGTTCAATTCCACTAGCATCACATTCAAGCTTAAAAGTCTTATTAAAATCAGGAAATTGGAGGAGAGGTGCATGTGTCAACTTATCTTTCAGCATGTTGAAGGAGTTCTCTTGTACTTTGCCCCAACTAAAAGGCACTCTCTTCTTTGTAAGCTCATTCAAAGGTACAGCAATGGTGCTGAAGTCCTTCACAAAACGGCGATAGAAACCAGCAAGTCTTAGGAAACTTCGCACATATGTGAGTCTTTGGTATAGTCCATCCTTGTATAGCTTCTACCTTGGCTTGATCAACCTTAATTCCCTATGGAGTCACAACATAGCTAAGAAAAGACACTCGATCGGTGCAAAAGGTGCACTTCTCAAAGTTACCAAATAAACATGCATCTCGTAAAGCATTAAAAACACCACGTAAGTGATCAAGATGTTCATCCATGGATTTATTGTAAATCAATATATCATCAAAGTAGACTACAATAAATTTTCTAATGAAAGCACGCAGAACCTCGTTCATTAATCTCATGAAAGTAATACGTGCATTAGCTAGCCCAAAAGGCATGACTAACCACTCATATAAACCAAATTTAGTTTTGAAAGCAGTTTTTCATTCATCTCCTAATTTCATATGAATCTGGTGGTACCCACTACGTAAATCAACTTTGGAAAACACAACAACACTCAGTTCATCAAGCATATCATCCAAACATAGAATATGGTGTCGATATCGAATGGTGATATTATTAATAGCTCTACAATCAACACATATACACCATGTTCTATTTTTCTTAGGCACTAAAATAACAAGAACAACACAAGGACTAAGGGACTCACGCACATAACCTTTGTCGAGTAGTTCTTGCACTTGTCACTGAATTTCCTTCGTTTCTTCCAGATTTGTCCTGTATGGTGCACGGTTTGGCAAAGATGCACCAGGAATAAGATCAATTTGGTGCTCAATCCCTCGTATTGGTGGCAGTCCCGCTGGTATCTCACTTAGAAAAACATCCTAATACTCCTGCAAAATGTTAGCAACAGCAGGGGACAAAGAATATTGCATATTATGAACTGAAATCAAAGCATCCTTGCATACCAAAGCATAGGCAACAGAAGTGGAAGCAACCAATTCATTAATATCAGATTTAGTAGCAAGCAAGCAATGTCCTTTCAATCTTATCTCATCTTTCTTACCACTAACAGATTTGACATTTTTATCGATCTCAGTTTTAGTTTTTTTAGCTTTAGCAACATCATCACGCACAATAGCTTCAGGAGACATAGGAAGCAAAACAATTTTCTTATCATGGTGTATGAGAGAATACATATTTGATCTACCATGATGCATATAATCCGTATCAAATTGCCATGGTCTACCTAGCAGAATATGACAAGCTTCCATAGGCACAACATCACACTCAACAACATCATGATATGATCTAATAGCAAAATTAATTCATACCAGTCTCGTCACCTTAACCTTACCACTATTGTTGAGCCATCGAATGTGATATGGATGTGGGTGCGATTTGGTTGTAAGTGCAAGCTTCTCTACCATATCGCTGCCAGCCAAGTTGTTGCAGCTACCTCCATCAATTATCAAATGGCACGAACGCTCTTTAATGACACACTTTGTTTGGAACAGTGTGTGCCGCTGATTTTGCTCCGCCTTCTCCATTTGTGCGCTAAGCACATGTTGCACAATGAGGCTCTCATAATGATCTGCATCCTCTGCACCAATTTGCTATTCTAGTTGTTCCTCACTACCTGCATGGTCCGCAGCAAGCAAAGCAAATGTATCTTCATCAAAATCACTAGCAGAGGAATACTCACCATCATCTTTGACGACCATAACATGCTTGCTTGGACAGTCACACATCATATGTCCATATCCCTTGCACCGGTGACACTGAACGTCTCTCGTTCTACCTGTAGATGTCACGGATGAAGCACTCGCAGCAGGCTTCTGGATCGTCTTCGCCACTAAATTTGCAGGAGTAGCACGAGGCTTGTCGCTAGATGATGGCATAGGACTACGTGTAGTCAGAGTAGTAGTCGTGCGGGGCTACCATGAATTAGTCTTTCCTGCAGAAATATTATTTTTGGCACTGGCACGTCGCCCCTACACTTCCCTTTCAGCTTTACAAGTAAGATGAAACAAACCGGTTACGTTAGTGTATTCTTTATACGCAAGGATGTCCTGAATTTCACGATTTAACCTACCCAAAAATCTTGCCATAGCAGGTTCTTC